TTGACTCCCGGTTCGGATTCTATGGCCATCTGGGGGTAACATGTATTTAAGCCTATTTTACGTGGCGTGGTGACTCTAATTCGTTTGGATTTCCCCAAAAACAAAAATTCTTTCGAAACTATGAACATCTCCTAAACTTGCCGTGTGAACTTTCTGTAGACGTTCATTCCGGAAAAGGCATAAGGACATGGAGTGTCTCGTCAATTATACAATATCTTATTGTTATTGAGGACCATCTTCTTCTTCTTCTTCTTATTTGCATTTAAAGCTTATTGCATATCGCATATTAGCTTATTGCATGCTCTCAACTTAGTGTTCTAGATGCACTTCCACAGTTATTAATTGAGAGCTTTCGATGCTTGTACCATTTTTGCATTGGTATAATTGTGTGGCAAGTCCAATCATACTTCTATGCCCAGGAAAGTCGAGACATTTTCCAACCCGAAAAATTCCTAGACCGGACCGGAAATTGAACCCAGCCACCTCCAGCATGGTCTTGCTTTGTAGCTGCGCCTTTACCGACTGAGCTAAGGGAGGACCATTACGCTAGAAAATCGACAAAAAATAGTAATGGCACTATCAACAACATTTCCCTATCCCCCTTACTTTGAAGTTAACAAATTAGTAAACCTTAGCAACGATTGGCAAAATTTTAACGCAAAACAGTGATACCGTTTTATATTATATTTTGTGTCATGGCACAATGACGTTCCAATCAGTGTGCCACGATGTGTTTCGGCACAGTGTGCATAGTTGATTACCCCTTGACACATATTAAAAAAAATCGAATTCATGTTTTGTGAATTATAAGTTTTAGAAACATGCACTTCAATTAATCAAATTTAAAATAAGTTTTTCTTTGACCACCCTTGTGGGCGCTTCTCTACAGCTTTAGTAGGTGAGTTAGGAATATGGTTGGTTTAAGCAAGGCAATTTATGGTTATCATCATTAACAATTTTAACTGTAAAATCAATTTGATTCCATGTTAACATTGTTTGAGTTTACCTGTTTAATTTGGTTGATTATACCATGAATTCGAAAATGACAGGAGACCCAAGTTGTATAGGAGTAATGAAGTCACGATGTAGATAGTGTCGACTACGAAAGCAAACTTCCCTAACTGATCCTTGTAGGTAATCCCTTACAGAGTACGTTCCTTGCCGCTTATCTTTTTATCTATATACCTCCAAACGATCATTTCTATGAACCAGTAAATATAAAATACAAAGATATCTGATTTGATGAAAAATAATGAAAAACATTAACACTGCTGATCAAATCGATTCTGTTAACGATGCGTGTAACGTGAAATCATATATTCATAGCTTACTCAAGGTTAAAACGTGACAGTTTATCTTGTTTACAGTGACACGGTTAGGATGCAGGAAGTTGATATAAAACTCGATTTCTTTCCATATAAATTTCCTTAAATCATAAGATCAAAGTACTTGTTTGGGGCTTTCTACACCAAGCTTATAATTAGTAATATCTCTAATAGTTATTCTTCATCGTGGCTGTCACTATAGTTACATTGTTACACGGTTCGCATTGAGGATTCATGAAATATTCTCTCATTTTTTGACTGAATGTTTCGTCAGAAGATCTTCTTCGTTTAGAGCTGTGTGCCATAACCAATGTTCCGATGTTGGGGTCTAAACGAGCTAATGCAGACTTCATAATTTGACATCATAATCATAACAAGATGGGGACGAATATATTTATAACTTTTGTGGCAAGACTCACCAGCTCAAGGGAAATGGCTTTAAAATAAATGAAATTATTTTGTTTATAATGCATAGATTAGACAGTTTAGGGGGGATTGTCAATTATCCACGGCCCATATAAATTAAAAAAAATATGGACAATTGCCTACGCAGGGGGAGGGAGGGGGGTGAGCCAAGAATAAAAAATTTCTACGTAGTTAATGAACAGCCCCTTATCCACGTATTCTGCTAAATGTTTGTATTTATGAATACATGGAGATAGATTTCTTATAAATGGAAACTCTGTGTATACCTGTTCTTCTAAGATGTTGTACAACTCTGCTAATTTATCTTTGTTCAAAAATTGGTCTGACAAGGTCAAACTGCTTATCAAACGCAGGTTTCTCATCATATCAGCATCCACGCTAAGAACTTCTGCAAACTTTTCTGGCTCAGAGAGTAGCCTTCTGGCCATGTTTGAGTAAAATGCTCCAAAAACCCCAACTTGCTCTATTCTGCACAGGACGAAACTATTTCCACTGGATTCCTGTGACTTTTCCCATAAGACTGATTATATTTGCAAAGGTTAAATCAGCTTTGATCAGAGATAATGAATTTTGCTCCTTTTATGTCGATTTTTTCCCACTGTGCAACGCCTGGAAGAATAAGGTCAGAAGTTATTGGTCCTTGTTTGTTAAAGTCCTTAAGACAATTGTAGCTCAATTAGCTTAATTCAAAAGCTAGGTTTGCCCTGATCAATAAAATTAGGAATCGAACTTTGAATAAATTTTTAATATTAGGCCTTTGTGCAACTCCTTAAATTCAACTTTTTGATTGATTTCCTTTGTTGCGAATAAATGTTTTGAATCTATTTTATTATTTCGAGTTAAGTTTTGACTTAACCAGATCGTGGTCGTCAAATGCTGAAGCTTGACGGAGTTGTTTGTTCTTTTAGCTGAGACACTTTTCTACCATTTAATTTTGGAGTTCGTTTGCCTTTAGATTACCGTGCCTTTACAATAGTTTGGTTAGTTTGCTCGTATCGGTTGGGTTCAAGTGAAACATCAGTTCTGAGATAACTGTTTGGCCTGCCCTGAAGGGGTAGTCTCATGCCGGGTATTTGAACGGAGTTAACGGTTCTTCTTTTGGTAACAGAACGAAACGTAACAATTGCACGTCATAATGCCATAAAGGCTGTCTGAATCAGTTCCTCATAATTGTCCAGTTTTTTTTTGCGTGAGCAATCAATAAGAAACACCATTATTACAAAACTGTCATTGCCTTCTCTTCATGCTTTATTCAGCTTTGTGTTTTTGCTGGCCTCGTGATCGTAAATTGAAGCTATGTTTCTAACTAGTCTACATACAATTCTTGATCATTTACGGTAAACAGAATTAAATAGCTAAAATCTCCATTCTGACATTTTCTGGCCATCTCGGCATAATTCAACCATAAATAAAATCTTGACGAGTCACCAGATCGAACATTGTCACCCTCTCCAACCAGCCACCTTTCGAGCAACATAATTCCATGCCACCATGAAGACTATCTGTCACAAATAGATCCGATTCCGATTTCATCATTCCCATCCATGAATGGCCATATTGAATGCATGCAAGCTGTCCACTCCAGTAGCAGCACACAGAGAACAACTCCAGTCGATTGGTTTCCGATTCTCCATCTTCCAAATGTGCATTGACAAATAATAGTAACGTTTGCCATCAATGCGAACCTCGCTGCGTTCCGATGACGACATGTAGTTTCCTTTTGTAATTTGTTGTTTTTTTTTCTGATTCCTTCAGTCACGCACACGACGCGAAGAACGCACAGGCAGCTAGCTGGGTTGCCAAAACTACAGATTAATCTGAGTTTCTTCAGATTTTTCTGATCATAATACCAAGATTTTGTATTCACAGATTACAGATTTTAAACTGATTACTCTGGTGATTACATTATGATCAAGCATTCTAAAAAGAAGAGTTAAGTGGTTTAAAAAACTCAACTTCTGATTTCACTGCAGATCAATTTTCTCGTCACCGAAAAACTCTCCTGTGCTCGCGCGAAAATCGCATAATCACTTTTCAAAGAAAAGTTTTAAAGGATTTAATTCAGAAACTATCAACACCGAAATCATCGCTGATTTTCTGGAACAAAACCACCGAAATTTCCGTTTTTGGCAACCCCAGGCAGTCCGTCAATCTGTTACTGTTGTCAATGTACAGCGGGGAAGGGTCTTATGGTGTCGTGCCGCACCAATACATCGCCGGGGAAGAAAATGCGAATCCGTGTTCATTCTTCCTGCTGCGTTCCCTGGGTCTGTTGGCCGCTGATGGTTTTCACCGACGACGACGACGACGACGAAGATCTGCGCTCGCATTGACTGGCTTTTCACAGACGGAATTATTATTCATATTTCATTACATCGCCCTCGACCGCTTCTGTGCTGGTATTGGTGAAGACAATGTCGGCAAAAGACGACGACGACGTCTTGGTTGTCATCGTCGGTCATGATGATGATGATTGCTTTTCTTCCGATGTTTGTCCAAGGGAAAAGTGATTTTTAATTGTTGCCACGAATGCTGATGGTTGCGTTTTTGCTGATTCACTAATTTCATGGATTTCGAAGCCTTCCAGTCAACGGGACCCACTTTAAGGCCTTGCGGAAGGGAATTTTGCTTTGTTTAGTATTTGTGATATATTTTTGCTGTTGTCACTCCCTGCCTTCGTTGTCGTCGTCGTCGTTAGGACAGAGTGAGAAAGCAACAGCTGGATGTGAACATATTTGGGATAAAAAATAACAGGCACCGATATTGCAATGAGTGGGTACATTGACAACCATTTGGGCGATGTGTTGCTACTGGCTGCGGAATCAACGGTAGACGGTGGAGATGAGGACAAAAGCTATGCTAAACTTACTTCTGGAACAAGGATGATACTGCGTGCACGGCTGTCTCTTTCCTCCTCTTCCGAACCAGAGCTTGATGCAATGTAATCTCAGTCTCTCGCTCTCCTGGCTGTTGTACGTGTGCGGCGGTAAGGAATCCCTTGTCTCGACGGTCCATGTAACTTTTCCTTTTCTTGCTTTTCTAGGAAACGTCTCACGCTCTCCCACAATCGCTCGGACAGTACGATAAGCTTCCAAATTTTTCACCACAAATCACCAAAACTATCCAAATCATCCACGGAGTGGTCACTCACAATCAAAATCAAAACAAAGGAAATATTCGGAAATCCTAAGCAATCTTCATTCGCTGCTTCTTCACACCACTTCTTCGTCTTCTTCTACTTGCACTTACATTCCCACTCGTTGCTCACTCTATAGCAGATCGCAGCAGCCCACAAGAACAGCTCCTTTTTCTTCAACACACTCTTCGACTTGCACAGCCCAGTTTCACACTTTGCGCGGAGGAGTAGGTAGTAGGCCTTGCTTCACCAGATGCACCAATCACCGCGAGACCGAACGACGATGATAGGCCAACTTTGATATGCACCAAAAAACTTTCCACAGACATAAAAAAAATACTACTTTTGCTGTAAGAGAAACACAGCCCGCACCAAACAAGAAAAACTGTTTCGAAACGCCAGAAGGATCTAGGGTTAATAGTTATTCTAACGAGACACTGCCTGCACAAACAGCACCGACGACGGTAAAACTCGCACTAACAACGACCAGGCCCTCTGTAGCAGTAGTAGCAGTACGTTCGGGGTTTCGCCTATCTCATGATCATGGGGTGGCACAAATACCAATCCCGACGCGATGTGACTATGAATGGCTGTGTGCATATGAATGGATACGTTTGCAACAATGGTGGTGTGTTGGGTGTAGTTGCTTTTGTAGATAGCGCAGCCGATTGCAGCGATTTGTGTGGGTTGTTTTGTTGGGGTTTTGCGTTCGGGTCGTGGTCGTGGTCGTCGTGATGCAGTGGGAGACAGAGATATGATGAAGATTGAAGATCGTGTGGCTGCGTTCGTGTTACCCAGTAGCGTTAGAAAAGTTTGAAACCGAAGTGAAGTTGCCTGTGGTTTGAGCACCGACAAACCGATCTGCCACACTTTTAACAGATTTTGTTTTTCTCTGCGACTGTTTTCACAGACTTACACTCAAAGATAAATTAAATCAAAAAAGCTTGAAAAGTATGCAGATTCCCGCTTCACCTTATTGAGTCCGAGCCATGATTACTTCGGCAGTAATCATGCATGATTAAAATCGAAACAATCTTCCCAGTATTAAATTTTATTCTTTTTCAATACTGATATATAATCAAAAAAGAATAAAATGAAATCAATTTTTTTTAAATAGAATAAAAATTGATTTAAATTTATTCAAAAAAAGATAATCTACAATCTAATCAACCATGATTAAACTGAGATTAATATCAGACGCTTATTTATTAAAAAGAGAGGAATAGTTTTTAATCATTCGATATGATTAAACTGAGTTTAATGTCAAATTGATTAAATTTCAAGCAAAATGGGAATAGTTTAATTTATCAGTGTAGGGTAATTTTTAGGGAATAACGGATGTCCACTAAAAAATGAGAATGAAAAGAATGGGTCGGCAAAAACCGCCAAACTTTTAATTCAAACCTGGGGGTAAGCCAGCTTTCGATCATGAGTAATGTCGGAGTTAATTTTGAGTAACTCTGAGTAACTCGCGTTGCTCAATATCTTATACACATAGCAACCTGATTGTTATATTGAAAATAATATTGAAACCGATGCTGTCACGCAAAGTTAGTTGACGAGCTTCACAGTCACGTCTCTAGAGTTAAGTGGTGTTCGGTTGAATTTAGGGTTATAGGTAGGATTGGTAAATATTAGTATAAATGTCTTAAGGTTCTACAAAGGGTCATTATTTTTTTTATTTCTTCTTTTTGAAATATTCTTCGACCATCATTTTCTAAATGTATTGGTAAAATTCATTGGAAGTGCATGTCCCCACGCCAAAAACTTAACCATATCTTTTCTTCCTTCATTTCAATACAACAGCAAATGTGATGTCACACTATCTAGTGGATAAGAATGTAGCAGACAACACATTCACACTACCAGACTGCACTGTATGCAAGTTTGTTTACACCCCTGAGCGGGAAAGTGAATACCAGGCTACGTGCACTGCTGCCATCAACCCTGTTAGTGTTGACTTCAATCTTCTGTGACTTTTTAAATTGGATCGGTAAATTGCCTAGAATTGTCGTTTTTGTTTTGTTTACTCAGTTTCAGATATTTATTCAAAATTAAATACATCCAATCATCTATGTTAATGATTCAAACATGGCAATTGGCTTGTTTTAATGAACTTAAATTCATTACTAGAGGTAATCTGGCAACGCTTTTGACGTAGGACTACGTCTTTGATATCTATATAGGGGTGCACTTTGTGAAAACCGAAATGGAACATGTAACAAATTAAGAAAGATTTTGAACGTTAATAACTCAGCTGCCCCTGGTCTAATTTCAATAATTTTATCACCAATCGACCAGAAATATGGCTACGCAATGCTTCCGAATGTTGAAAATCAACAATAAACTATTGAAAAACTGGTAAATGTCCAGCATTGTCCAAAAGCGTCGAATTAACTAACAAATCCACCAATTACCTACATGCATATGCTGCTTCCCCAGCACAGTCGTCAGAGAGTAGTAAGTAGACGAAACAAGTCGAAGTGGCATTCGCCTCCGATCCTCGGGCGCGTGCGAATAGGGAGGATGGAATTGCGTAATATTTTACACACTCATCGCCATACTCAGAACCACACGCTCCCAACGACCACACCACTGTGTGGTGGTGTTCGGTCGTCGAAATTAGTAGCAGCAGTAGCAGCAGTAGCAGTGCTTTCGGCGTGTGGCGTTGAAAATTGTTCTCTAGTAACAACGAAAGGCTGCCTGCAAGCAGCGAGCTGCAGAGCCCACATAAACAACCATCAAAGGAGGAAGAAGCTGCACCGCTATGCTACGGGTCGGTCATCTATGCCAAGCGTGTCACCCTAGCTCCAAACGACATACAGCTCGACAGCCTCATCCGTGTTGAACACCCAGCTCAGAATTACTCAACCATCACTACAAAACGGTCCTTTTCAGGGCCACCAAAAATTTGTTAAAGAGTATTATTTGGACATTGGTCAAGATCATCAGTTCCCGCAAGGAGCTAGCTATCAAGGCTCAACCTGTCTATAGAAGGTGTGGAATTGTAGGCCTGAATATATTGGTGCAATTAGTTTTTCCTCGGCTTTCATTCCGCACGATTCGTTTCTTTCGTTCAATCAATCACCCTTGTAATGACGTCGAAAAGATTGTTTCAATCGGCGCTTACATATGAAATTTATTGTGGATTATAGAATGTTTTGTATGTTACCAAAATTTATGAATGGTTTGCCACTAAATGTTGAGATAATTTATTGATTATTGAATTATCACACTGTATACCATGAAAAAGCAGCCTGTTTGTGAGTTTTTGCCTGTTTTCAAGTAAGGAGTTATCATAAAAAACAAATCGCAACTACAAATAAATAAAATCAAACATGCAGAACTAGCTCACAGCAAAAAAATAATTTTGATATCACATCAAAGTGGATGCACTACAATCATGTCGAAAATTTCATGTAATTTTTATGACCACATAAATAAACAAATGCAGTAAAAGCAGCGTAATGTCAGTTCATGCATTGTATTAATGATAATTTTGTCCTTTTTAGCAAGTAATATTACACCATATTTTCGACATGATTGTAGTGCATCCACTTTGATGTGATATCAAAATTATTTTTTTGCTGTGTAGGATTTGTTTTACTTCATATTTCACAAAATTGCTTTCGAGTGTTAAGACATCGTCTCCCGCAAAGTTTACATTTTTCCCTCTACCAACACAGGATATATAGAATCCACGCAATTTCAAAAAACCAAAATGCACAGCATTATGAAAAGAGGTCAGGTTTCGACCAATAGCAGATAGATTTTAATTCTAAACAAGCCAAACGATTGGAAATTTATCTACCAATCTGCTAAAATGAACACTTAGTTAATTTTCAATAGGTAACTATTGAAAAATACCAAATGTCCAACTGTTGCAATGGTGATCAAAATGATCACCGAATGTCTGAAAACAGCGCATTCCCTAACACAGACGTAAAAATCGAATTCGATGCGGTCCCACTGAACGATGCTCATTCAAACACCGTAAGTGGTGGTGTCCAGTCCAGCAGCAGCAGCAGCAGCAGCAGGAGTGCTTTCAACAACAACAACAACGAAAGGCTGCCTGCAAGCAGTGAGCTGCAGAGCTCATATGAGAAACCATAGAGAAGGAGGCAGAAGTTCCACCGCTAGGCTAGGATCGGAATCAGTAGCTCATCGTGCTCAGCTCAGCATTACTCAACCATCACTACAAAATGGCCCTTTTCAGGACCACCATAAATTTGTTAAGAGTATTTTTATTTGGAAGTAGGAAGTGTTAAAAATCCATCAAGAATTTGAGAGAAGTGGGAATAATTCACTTTGGGGGTGTATATTCAGTCCCCAGAAAGCCAATAAAATCAAATTTGTGAGAAAATTAGCTCTCACGAGTTCAATCTCTCGAAGTCCCTCCTTTTTTACATATTCTGCACAAACGATACTTTTCGCCCCGCCCCATTCATATAATTCGGAAGGAAATTGAATACTCCTTAATACCAAAATGCACAAAACTTAAAAATTCATAAATAACAAAAAAAATCAAAATACACCTTTTAAAGTCGGGTAGATGAATCGAAAATACTCAAGTTGACAGTCCTTTGGATTCTCTTCATCAACTTTCTCTTTGAAATAAATACTACAAATTTGATACGCTTACAAATAAAAAACGGAAAGAGTTAAGATAATTGATGATCAATTAAAAGAACTAAATGTTCTCTTTTGTTCCGTCCACTAGCGGTCCTACGTCAAGCTTCCGTTCGTGCCCCTAGGCACAGACCCTTCTACTTTTTCAATGATAGTTTTACCATAGAGGTAACTCTAAGACTAGAAGGTCCCGAAATAACGTGCTCAACTTTTTGGCTCAGCTCTGGAACTCTCTTCGGTCCCAAGCTAATCGATTCACCCCTCGAAACATAGGAAAAACCAATAACCCCTCATTATATCTGTCCAAAGCGAATCAAAACAAACATTGCGTAGTACTAGAATTTCGACTAGAATGGGGTACGTTGATCGTTTGCTTGGGACCAATAGGCTAGTCAAGTAGTGAGTCAATTTAAAATCGTTAGTTTCGTATTGATTGTTGGTTTTACGATTGCTGGCAAAGCAGTAAAATTGAAGTGGTTTTCTTGGTGTTCAATTTTGTTTATCAAGAGTTTTGAGAAGCAGTTGTTTTAGGTTTTGTGTATTCAATGGTGTGTTATTGTGCTATGCTTCGAAGAACACAAGTAAGTAAATACAGTGAATATGTTTTACCCAAGAAGTTTTCGTTCTAAAATCATGAAATACAAGTCTTAAATTTTTGTATTAATACTTTGTGAATGTATGTGTAAACCAATGATGATGATTGAAGAATATTTCAAAAAGAAGACGAGCACAAATTTACTTACCCTTTGTAGAACCTTAATGGTAAAGGTTTAGTGTAAAATTTGAAATTATTTAACAAAGTAAGTGGGTGTTTTATGCAAGCCAGTTGGTAGAAACATAATGTGTGTAACACAAGGAGGTGGAACCCCTATCTCTACTAATAACAAGTAGCCATAGCGAGCATAGTCGCAGGGCCACGCTCTGGGCCCGCTTGGATTGATACTTGATCACGTTTTTATGTTGGCTACGAAAAGAAGGTGGTGTGTCAGGCCCTTGGTGTAACAGTTGATATGGAAAAAGGACTATATCCTATGTGGGAGAATCAGGGTTGAAAAAGTCATGAAAAAATCACCAGCATTCACTATGAAATGAATTTTTCATCCATAGTGAACTTTGATGAATTTTAGTGATTTTTTCAGCCCTGGGGAGAATATAAAAAAGTGGCAACAAATTCCCAATTCATTAAGTGGAAGGAGTAGAAGAGGAATGGCGTAGATGGACTTAAGAACCTAGAAAAGCCGCCATTGCCTCATACTGAATGAAACTAATGTTCTACCCGACAACGACTCAGCAGCATGAAACTCTGCGAACTGTGTCGCAGAGTCGGTACACTATCGGGCAAACTGGAGGGGCTTCGCGTACTCAAGCTTTCAAATTAACTAAAACACGGAGCAGATCAACTTAACCACTATATTGTCCAAACATTTCTCAATACACTTAGGCGTGAGAAGTGTGGTGTGTTGGATATTCTGGCACGTACCTTTACGACAACTACGACACATGCAATCCAGTGAGCGCTCGCTAAAATTTTAGAACAATTCTGGCGATGGTGGAAGATCAAAGTCTGACCTTGTCAGCAAGATGGTGATACCACCAACTGGTCTACCGGCGACTACAGCGATGGCAGTCTGACTAGCGCGTCTACCGTTCGTTGGCTGTCGTGCGATGGCGGTTTGGTTTAGTGGTGTGGTGTTTTGGTGAAAGGCTGGTATGACGGATTGAGGAGCTGGTCTCGATGCACAGGCATTTCCTTCAGACCAAGCCGGTCGACGACGACAAGCCCGCACTCTGTCAAACCGGGAAGGGAATCTCTCCTTAGGGCCAATTAGGGCCGTCTGCTCGAAGGCGGTATCCTGCTTCACAAGGAACAGTGGACCTTGGCAATTAGATATCCGTGACTAGAAAGTCACATCTACTGTAGCGTGCAACGGAGGTCCAAAACCCGCCAACCAGTAAGCGGTTTGAAAAACGTACGGAAAAGGTCCTGAATCGGTGTTCAACAGGTCACTATGATTCACTACTTGCACTAGATTCCCTAAGTATTAATTTTACTCCACTAGCTAATCACTTCTGGTCTACACGCTCGCCTGTTTAAAAGTGAACGATGGCCGTTCGCTGAGAATCGCAGAACCCTTCACCCCATCACCCCGTAACTCCGTGTCACCATTTTACTGTGGCCATGCACGCCTCATTCAACAATCGGCCGTTAAGCATGGCCGTGTCGTCGTCCCAGTCGAGGGGGGCGACACATCTAAATCTCAATTTTAGATGCTCAAAGAATCTCACACTAGCGAATCAATCTTCGAAAAATCTTCTTGCATTTCGCGCATCTACTTGCATCGCGCATCATATTATTGCAGAAAATTTTCAGCATAGTCATCAATCTTCTATCTATCTACTGAGCGTGCGAGCAGCTAGCCACATGGATAGAAATCTCCTTATACCTTTTGGGCAAATTTCTATTGTTGATTATTCATAAAATGTATAAGTCAACTACGCCTTGCAAAAAGTCAATGAAGATCATGTGTCAAATGAAATGTATAAGCGGTCACACATACCTTTTATGCATTCTTATAGGACCTATGTGGTTTGTCTTATGGAATGTATAAGGTATAAGCATAGAGGTAATAAGGCTGATGTTTTGGCAAAAATGTATAAGTGAAAAACATGAATAAAATAATTGATTTTTGTTTCGTGCACAGCACAACACAATTTTTCCTGCAGCGTAGATAGAGTCACCCCCCTCGGTCCCAGTGGGTTTCATCCAAGGGTGGGTCGCTCAGCACACTATCCATTGCGCCATTTTTTTTAAAAGTGCCTCCAAGTATTACGATGTGTTCTGATGGGCCGATGTGTGCCGCTATAACCTTGGTTGTGTGCCGCTGTATTAAGTTCAATTGGTATCTTTTTGATATGGCTGGCAACCAGGCGTTTGTTTTGGTTTCCACCACTGATGGACATTTGAGTGAAAATATAAATCTGTGAGTGTAAATAGGAAAAATACCTTTCTGTATACAGAAATTAGAACATCGTAAATTATTGAGAAACAGTAAAAATTATAGTTCAGTAGATACAGTACAGTTCGGAACACGTTGAGATTAAAGGGCGTTTCACGGTTTTCGGTGCGTGCATATTTATTTGTCGTCCTGGAAGCAGATTCAAGGACCGTTTCTGTACTTGTTTTCTGCATTGTAACTATCTCATGTAACCTGTGAATATGAATATTGCGCATTTCACACCAAACCGGACAAATAAGTGCGTTTTCACTCATTAAAAAGTGTGATAAAAGTGCAAGTTTCCGTCTTATCGCCTTGGTGGCTTTGGTGCACTTATGCCTGATGATGCAGGCAACGTGCATTTTTATCACACTTTTTGCCTTTTTGGGGTAGTCCAGTTTCAGATGCAATCAGCAATATATGAAGCCGCAAATCCAGGTTAAAACATTGATTGAAATTCGTACATCATGTATTTTGTAGTGCAAACTGTACTCCGCGATGCCGTGGCCTAAGGGTGTACCATCGTTGGACAGATTGAGAACGCTCTTGAGGACCAATGTACGCCAAAAGCCGGAAGTTTTGTTGACGGCTCCGGAACAAACAAATAGTACATGTAAGAATGCAGTTAAGAAACGATAAGATCATTAGTGCTTTATGGGAAGGTTGTTTCGGGTTGTGATCATATGGTAATAACTGAAAATAGTGATGATCCATGGCGAATTTTTGAACTATCATACAATAAACGTGACAAGGGATGGGTTTGTGTTTTTTCCTTTAATGTGACATAATTAGTGGACAATTCCTTTTTCATTATTACGTGTCTTCGGTACTGTCCGAATGCAACGGAAGCGTTGCAAACGATCGTTTGTCCTTCTAAAGCGTCCAGAAGACAAAAGCCAAAGCATTTTTGACTTCGTGATGTAATACGTTTGATTTTAAATATGTTTTTGTTCCTTTTGGTTTTGCAACGCTTGAGAATGATTTCTCCTCCAGTTTTTGGAAAAATTTTCTCTGCACACTCAATGATAATCTCTTCATTTGCTTACATGAGTCGTTCAATACGGGTTGGTCGTAATTGGTAGCTATAAATAATGATAGTTAAATTTTAATTTTTACTTCTACGTCTGCATTAATCTGCATGATTACCATCTGTGCTATCATCGTACATGTTTGTCATATTAACAAATTCAAACTCAGGTGGGATGTTAGGATTTCGTATGAACAAGCTGTTTGTGTAGTTAACTTTGTCTTCATGAAATCCAACCGAAATAAGAAGCTCAGTTGCTTTGTGCTTGGCTACTTTGATCGATTGTGCTATCTGGTCATCATTTGGCAGATCGTATGATGAGGCTGCCAATAATTTGAAGACTTGTTTGCGAAGACTGGGGAAGCAGAGCGTATCTTTTCTACGGTGGGCTATCAGTAGCTTCATTTGTACTCGTTGCATCCTTTGTTCAACATCCTTCATAGTAAAGTTTACTGCTGTATGATTGATGGTAGTCATTGAGCGTAGCTCTCGAAAAGACGTCTCACAAGGCTGACTGTTTAAGTTTTGAACTAAAAACTGATCATGTGCATTATTTTCACGACAGTTTACCAGAAAGTGAACCAATTCATGTGCGTTTAATTCTAAACACCAGTATACGTTTGAAGTTGTACAGTGTTGAATACTGTTATTTGAGTCCAGACATTGCCAACGCCATGCTCGAATGAAGAACAAAGCAGTCCTATAAAATGAAATAAAGGTTTAATATTAAAAAGTTTGCGTTAGAAATCTGCTAAACAAACCATATTTTACATATTCTTTCGGTCGGTGAAATTTCCTCCTCGACAAAGGAGATATTTATCAACCGCATTAGCTTCAAATACACAGCTGTGCCGTAACAATCTGGAACTACTTGAATCAGGTGTTCGATCAAATCTGGTGCCATCCATTTTAACGCAGGATCAAATTTCATTTTATCTGCTGGATTTAAGTCCGACGGGTTCATCTTGTGTATAACTTTATCTCCATGCTCTATCATTTGCCTTACATATTCGGGTGATACATAGTATTTTCCTAAAATATTGTCAAGTATAAATAATTAGACATTAATCCATACACATTTGCCTTGCCCCAATATCTACCCATAGCCATGTGCTTTTTTGGATTTAGTAGAGCATGCCGAAGCTTGTTCACAAGATGTATCGTATCCTGGATGCAAACTACTTCGTCATTCATATTTGCTATGAAGTATGAACCATACAATGTGCTTGCAACTGGGTGAGGAAGACGTGTCCTTTCCTTCATGACCCGTAATAGTCGTGGATCACCATCTGATGCATGTGCTACAACTTTTACTCCAGCTTTTTTGAGTTCAGCCTCTACGTGTTCCCAGCGCTGTTTAACTTGGAGATGCGTAAATTTGTTGTCACTGCACATATACAGGACACAAAACGGAGATGAGCCTGCGACCATTGGAGTGGCCATTACAATATATAAGTATTCTCCAACTGGGTAATTTTTCAGATCATTGATCATTTTTTCCGCTGTTGAAGCCTTGAAATGATCAAGTATTGGCATTCCTTTGCTGTTAAATGGTGCAACAAGGCCGCGCACAGAATCAGTTCGTGGTGAGTACTCCGAGTTGGGAGATCGGGAAGTCCCATCCTCACTTAATGCAACCACTTTTGGACATTTGTTGGCGTTCAAATATTTTACCAATGGGTTAATCATTAGAACACCTTCTCTCGTATCGTGGGTATGTCGGGAAATATGTCGTTGAACGGATTTACGATTGGGAAGATGCATATTAGCTCTTTGGAATTTGTAAGCGCTAATTCCCGAAGTTAACAACAAATAAGCTGCAACATCATGCTCATATTCAAAATAGCGTACTCCATATGTTCCTTGGAGCTGAAAACGTCTGTTTATGTTTATTTGAATATCAAGTAAAACTGACGAGTTATTAGTTAAACTTATTTTGTTGGATTTGCCAATCGACTCGTAACTTCCAGCCTTTTTTCTGTAATAAATAACAAACTTATTCAACATAGGTTTTCTCAAAGTTTTCTCTCTATTTCATATAAATTTTAAATCAGCGATCTTGAGCAACTATTGCACTCGTCTCTTACATGGGTTCCTTTATGGCATCCTCAGAAGAATTCATATAGTCTGTCACATCTGAAATTCCAGACTAGACTTCGTCGTGTATGTTGCCATGCGAATTTGCTTCCGCAGCATTCGATATATCTGTAATAATATTATGTGTTGGTTGTAAGTGTTTACTGGAATGCGTATTAAAAAAAATACCATCATGTTCGTCATCAATCCTTTCTTCTTCTATATACTCCAGCTCTTGATCTGACTGTTGTTCTCTCGAGCCACTCGAAATATTTGTCATCTCATTATCTGGTAAACTCAATGGGTCACAAGATATGGAATCAGAATCGTTGTGTGAGGCAGAATCGATAGAAATGTTTGGAGTTTCCAATGACGTTTCTTTATCATCATGAATAAGGCTTTTGAACTGCGCTGCATCAGGTTACATTGTTACATTCGATTTCATTGACGCAGTATCTGTTCGACGTTGTTTCCGCAGTGAACATTCTGGCATTTGAAAATGCATGGTGTTGCTATGTCGGGTTAAACTGTAAATATGCCAGTTTCCTCTGTCATCCATAGAAAATGATAGCTTCGATATTTTCCCATCCATTTGGCAAATAGGACAAAAAGCCTCTGCTCGAAATTTTCCACAGCCGTTAGAAAAAAAACTTTTATATCAATATTTTTGAGCTGCTCCAGTAATTCTTCGTAGTTTTTATCCTTTATACCCCTGGTTAAAGACAGTTCATATGAGAGTATTTTAAATTAATATTATGATTATACTTACTGTGAAGCGAAGTGAAGCATTATTTTGTCGTATAATAAACGAGAGCGCTCTTCAGCATCTTCTTCGTAGAGCTCGATGCTGATAGCAGTTCTGTTCTTGGTGTTGAGGAAATACTTAATTCCTCTCTTCTGCATCAGATTAGCCAAATCAAGGAGACACATCACTTCTCCACTGAGGAATCGAAACTTTTCGGGCTGACTTACGTACGTTCGTCCGTAAATTTCGTGAAGGGGAGTTCCACCAACTACAGCTTCTGCGTGTAAGCTGTCTGCCATGATCCGCATGTCTTCTTCGATTTGCCGAATGGCCTCAATGTTCAGTTGAGACAAGGACTGGCTGCAAAGGTTTTGCTTTTTTAAAATGTTCCGGATGTGGAGATTGATAGTTCCATATTCGGCCTCTAGTTTGCTCCAAAAATATGCCTTCAATTAAGAATGGAATGAGGCATTGGTCAACAGTTTATTGAATGAATCAGTTACCTAATCCATTGTTCCACCTCACAATTTTCGTAGACCACTTTGCACTTTTAACTTGATAAAAAGCAAGTAAAGATGATTAGCGAATTTTGCGTAACGAAATAAACAACATGTCGTCAACAACAAAACATTTGGCAGGGCTGCCAGATTCTTACTTCTAAAATTTCAAATGTCAAAAGTGTTCCACAGTGTGTCACAAATTGTGATATGAATGCTCCGTTGTTGTGAAACATATTCAGCTACGGTGTAAGACATTGTGTCTGGCACACTGTGTTAAGCGACTTACCCCTTGGTTTCATCGCTATAGTTTAAATTTACCTGAATCACATGAAGTAATTGAGAAAACATCGAATTGAAGGTTTGTAACAGAACGGTTACATGTATCAGGCGTTCGTGTGTTATACACCAGTTTCCTCTATTTTGGACTGATCAGGCCCAATCAGATAACACGATTCGGCTAAGTCAAGCTTCACTTCGCCTAACAGTCAAGGAACAATCCCAACCTCTGGTCCTACTGACCATGAAGGAGGCTTAAAACTCGAGGAGGTTAGCCCTAACTGAAAAGGAGCATTCCCCTTTTGGAACGGTCACTCCGGTATCGTCCTAGGCCATGTCAACCCTCGCTAACGAGAGAAGACGCCTGAAAGGCTTCCAATCCCCGTCAAACCAGCGTGCAGTCAAACCACCATTCCCCATCGGTTCGGAAAACAACAGTCACCGTTCGTCGACAGTAGTAGCAGCAAGTACTTACATTACGTCGCCAGATCGTTGGCATCAGCAGCAAGGTAGCAGTGGTACGTAACGCAGAAAACCCAAACAAAGACCAACAGTAGCTTGCGTAACAAAACTTACATATAGATCAGAAATCAACAGCCTTATCCCAATAAAAACCATAGTTTCCCCACTAATCCATATCTTTCAGTTCATACTCCGCAATAAACTCTAGTCAGGTGATCGTACACTGCACATCTTGTTCATGAAGTCCCTTGGACTACCAAGTAATAAGCCAACCCTGAGACCAAATATATCATATTGACAATATGATCCATTCATGCCTTTTCCAAACATTGCAATGGCGACCCGCAAAATATTGCTTCACGCACCATCTAGCGTTAAAAAAGGTCAGCAGCAATCATTCAATTACAATCGAGGGGTGCGAATATAGCACTTATTACAAAAGTAAGAGTCACATTATTTTCATTAATTACATTGTGTATATTACTTTAAAAGTTGTCCAACATGTCACTGTTGTCATCCCGAATAGAAATTGTAATGTAGGAAACATCAGCAGACATCTTCAATACATTAAATTTTAACGCGTATTGCTGTAACCTTAATGTATTCAGACTTCAGTGTGACGTCCAAGTACATAAAAATACAGTAGCCTCAAACGTTACATCAGAATCAAACGTCTTGACGATGTAAAATTTGACATCAGAATACATCCAATGACAACAGAACCAAACGTTACATTAGAATTGGCAAATCAAAGTTGGCACTCGTGGAGAATAGAAGAACTATGAGAGTGATGATGGTTTCAAAATTTTACACGGTGAGGTATACGAGTGCAATCTTAAAATGCTTTTATTTTGAAAATGGAGCATTTTATTTAAATCTGGTTAATGCTACGCTAGTAGAAAACTTAAGGACTACTTAATAGACATATAATATAGAAATAATAATATCTTTTCAGATTTTTATGTGTACACATAGATTTCAGCTTTTCTACAACTGTAGCAGCAACCAGATTTAAATAAAATGCTCCATTTGCAAAATAAAAGCATTTTAAGATTGCACTCGTATACCTCCCCGTGGAAAATTTTGAAACCATCATCACTCTCATAGTTCTTCTATTCTCCACGAGTGCCAACTTTGATTTGCCAATCAGAGTTCATCACGATGTAAATTGTTGTCCCTCGGTCTCTCGCCGCATGCAAAGTTTGTTTTGTCCTGAGTCAGCACTACACGGCGAATGAGAACGACCCAAATTTGAGGTTAGTTCACTCATAAATCGCAAAAAGTGCAGGAACTCAGTTTTGAATTAATTTCCCTCATGTTCCGAATATGAGAAAAGCAAAGATTGGACTCTCTGGATTCTCGTAAATTTTCATTATTTTAAGGCAGATTTTTGAGGTTTTCCACAGGAAAACATGCGGCAAATTTACTCATCCTGCACTTTTTTCGATATTGAGTACACTGTACTCAAATTTGCGTTGATCTCATTGGCCGTGTACAGTTTTTTTTTTCGCAGTGGGAAAAGTTTGATTTGTTTACGAATTAGCCCGGGAAAGTGCCGATTATGTGTCCGTCGCGAGTTTTGGTGGCGATGCAATGTTTTTCTGGTAAGTAAATGTGAATTTATTAATTTAATGTAATGTAATTATGTTTTTTTTTTACGAAAGTGTACCAGTCCCAAGCCGAATCCCGGTAGGGAATCCGAAGCTGGATCCCGGGCGGGGAGTTTGCAGCCAGATCTCTTTGCAGGTTAGTCAGTGTATTTACTAAAAGCTACAAGCCCGATGACGGGTTCCGCAAACGGAGCCCGATGGGGATTCCGTAGACGGATCCCGATGGGAAAACCGAATACGGATCCCGATGGGAAAACCGAATACGGGTCCCAATGGGGAAACCGAATACGGATCCCGATGGAGATTCCGTAGACGGATCCCGATGGGGAAACCGAATACGGATCCCGATGGGAAAACCGAATACGGGTCCCAATGGGGAAACCGAATACGGATCCCGATGGGAAAACCGAATACTGGTCCCAATGGGGAAACCGAATACGGATCCCGATGGGGATTCCGTAGACGGATCCCGACGGGGAGACCGAATACGGATGCCGATGGGAAAACCGAATACGGGTCCCAATGGGGAAACCAAATACGGATCCCGATGGGATAACCGAATACGGATCCCGATAGGAAAACCAAATACGGGTTCCAATGGGGAAACCGAATACGGATCCCGATGGGGAAACCGAATACGGATCCCGATGGAGAAACCGAATACGAATCCCGATGAGAAAACCGAATACGGGTCCCAATGGGGAAACCGAATACGGATCCCGAGGGGGAAACCGAATACGGATCCCGATGGGAAAACCCAATACGGGTCCCAATGGGGAAACCGAATACGGATCCCGATGGGAAAACCGAATACGGGTCCCAATGGGGAAACCGAATACGGATCCCGATGGGGATTCCGTAGACGGATCCCGACGGGGAAACCGAATACGGATGCCGATGGGAAAACCGAATACGGGTCCCAATGGGGAAACCAAATACGGATCCCGATGGGATAACCGAATACGGATCCCGATAGGAAAACCAAATACGGGTCCCAATGGGGAAACCGAATACGGATCCCGATGGGGAAACCGAATACGGATCCCGATGGAGAAACCGAATACGAATCCCGATGGGGAAACCGAATACGGATCCCGATGGGAAAACCGAATACGGATCCCGATAGGGAAACCGAATACGAATCCCGATGGGAAAACCGAATACGGATCCCGATGGGAAAACCGAATACGGATCCCGATGGGGAAAGACTGAGATTTAAGAATTCTAATGTATTTTTTCATAAATAATGCCAATTTAGAATTCTGTACTATCTAATAACTATTTCTTCGAACTTTTAGGCAGTTTGGATAACAATTTAGCCAACGTATAAGATACTTACCACAGACAAACAGACATAACACATTGAATATTTCTCACTGTAAAACATCGTCGTTAAAACATTACCGCCCTCTGTTGAGTACACTGTGGTGGGTAGTACGCTGAACAGATGGCGGTAGTGTGGAAACGTCAAACGCAAGGGAATTGACTATGCGCGCCACAGGTGGCGGTACTACCAACTAAGATACTTTTAAATTGACCGATAAATGCTTGTTCGATGAACATCTTGCGAGTGTTATGTCTGTTTGTCTGTATACTTACTTTACTTTTGCTGATCCGACGTCCCTCGGAACCTAACCTGTATAACAAGTTGCGCCAACTAACTCGGTCCCTAGCTGCTTGTCTCCAATTTCTCGAGCGTCCCACACTTCCTACATCTTACTCCACTTGGTCTAACCACATAGCACGCTGTGCTTTTCTGCGTCTTGTACCGGCCGGATTTGAGGAAAACACCATTTTTGCGGGATTGTTGTCCGGCATTCTTACAACGTGTCCCGCCCATTGTACCCTTCCACTTTTAGCGACTTTCTGGATATTGGGTTCACCATAAAGTT